GGACGTAATAATTTACTGTGTCATCTGTGTCTCTTATTGGAAAGCTTCTCTTATTGTATATATTTATAATCGCAGTATAATAATTTTTTAAATATATATAGTAGGAAGCAATTTGATATGTACTGGAAATTCGAGAATGAGATTTTTATTACAGCATATATTGATGTGAATGCGTAACGTATAAAAAAAAATAAGTTTAACGCGAATCCAATCTTCATTAAAAACGAGATATCATCATTATTTCGGGATTTCCCGGATCTCGGTTATTTCTGATGTTATTATCACAGCGATTACGCAATACCTATAAAGACTATTTTTGAAATTTAATATTCGAAATGATAAATAAATTCCCCAGCAAATTTAAATAAATCCCATAAAAACATAACGATTTATTATAAAATATACTTTACAGATTTTAAAATTTAATAAACAAAAGATATTCTATAATAAACAGATCGTAATAAGAAAATATTAATTTTATTAAATGCATAATAATTTCACACGTGATATATAATATTTTTATATTTTATTGACATGAAAATAACTTTCAAAAAAGATATGTACATATATATATAAATATTCATACAAATGTCAAGATAAAATGAGTAATACATAAATACCAAATTTAAATAATTAAATATCAAATTTAAATAATTTCAATAAAAACGATTTACGATATATCAGGAATATATTTCACGGGTCGAATAAAATTTAAGCTGAAGATATTTTAATAAATACATTATAATGAAACAACATTATTTTTATCACAAATACAGAATATAATTCCACATATGTTTTTATGTGTTATTATCATAAAATAACTATTTCAAAAAAACGATAATATATTCAACATCATATAAATATCATGATAAAATTCTATAACGGAAAATTCCCTTCCCTTTTGTCCCCTTTCCCCTTTATCGGTCATCACGAAGATAAAATGTGACTCTTTTCGATAACAAAGTAGGAATCCATAGAAATTTACAATATACCGTAGTAGTTTCAGACCACCGCCGACGTCGTGCGATGTCGTGGCGAATCGCGCACTCATTCAGCCGGTAACACTGATCGCGTTGTTCGATCTTGCGTTGTGTTGTCGGTCAACCGAGTGCAAAGTAGCGAACAGTAGCGAACGTCGCAGAGAGGATACAGAGAGAGAGAGAGAGAGAGAGAGAGAGAGAGAGAGAGAGAGAGAGAGCGAGAGCAGCCGAAAGTCACCCCCGCGTTTACCCCCGATGGCTTCTGCGTCGTGTTGACTCCGCCGTCGCGTGACGTCGCGCCGTCTTTTAATAGTCCGCCGCCTCTCCGCGACCGATTCGCCCGTATGATACGACACGATACGTCTACATACGTATACGTACGTCGCAGCTCGTCGGGGAGACGCGCCCTCGTTCGACCTTGAACGGCTATAACCGGTGCGTAACGTTCGATGTACGGAGCATCGTCGCTGTTAATCGCGACAACCAGCCGACCGCGAGTCACCGTCACCGCAGCACCACCGTAGCAGGTCTGTGCTCCTTTTACTCTGTTTACTTCCTCCTTCTTGGCGCCTACTCCTCGACGCGGGACTGCCTCGGCGGCGAAATGGCGAAGAAGACGTACGATCTGCTGTTCAAGCTACTCCTCATTGGCGACTCCGGCGTTGGCAAGACCTGCATACTGTTCCGTTTCTCGGACGATGCCTTTTCCACTACGTTCATTTCCACAATAGGTGAGAGAAAGAGACGGAGAGTGAGGGAAGGAGATCGGGAAAGGCCGGTAGAGACGAATCATGGAGATTCTTTCGTCGATGACGACGAACTTGGCTCGTATTCATTTTCCGACGATTAGGTTAGAATGTCGCGCTTCGATTGGAAATTACGGTCGTCACGTAAAATTCAATCCAATCGAGCTGATCGCCACTTCGTTTCATGTGTGAGGGTCACACGTGTGTGTACATATACGCACACGTACATATTCGCATAGTGATCAGGGTGTAATTATCAGCCTGTTTTTCTTTGAGAAAAAAAAGTAATTGCACTTTGCTTCGCGAGATTTTAGCGGAGTCATACATCCATTTGTATGAGCATAAATAAATACATATTGCACAAGTTACAAAAGAGATGTATATGATTTTATAAGTAATATACAAATTATTCTCTTTTATATACAAATAATTATTTAATAAAAATAAAAAATAAAAACTAAGATACCTTCCATAATTAATATAGTTAAAGTATATTTTCTATAATTAATTTATATTTTCGTAATGATAATTAGAGTGCACAAAATATGTACCTAGAGTTTCTCGAAATTGTAATTTGTGTTTTATTCTTTTTATTGAACATAAGTGTTTTCTTTTTTTTGCAGGTATTGATTTTAAAATCAAGACGGTAGAATTAAGAGGAAAGAAAATCAAGTTACAGATATGGTGAGTTGCATATGAACATTAAAAATTTTCTATATATTTATGTGGTTTTGTTATCTGCAGGGACACAGCTGGACAGGAAAGATTCCATACTATTACAACATCATACTATAGAGGAGCTATGGGAATTATGCTTGTTTATGATATTACTAATGAAAAAACATTTGAAAATATCGTGAAATGGTTGAGGAATATTGATGAAGTGAGTATAATGTACTCCATTTTACAATTTACAAATTTATATTTCAATTTCTTATATTAAACCTATAATGATTGTCGTAAATATTTCTTATAGCATGCAAATGAAGATGTGGAGAAAATGATCTTAGGAAATAAAAGTGATATGGAAGAAAAACGTGTTGTCAGTACAGAGAAAGGAGAAGCGGTAAATATTCTATAGATAAATTTTCTTGATATATTACGAGCAATATAATAAAATCTTTTATGAGTGGGTTTTAAAAACATGATGGGTTTTATAGACATAATGTACAAATCGAACATATAATATGTGCTAGGGAATGCTTTGCGGTGGCCCCCACATGTGAGAGAGAGCAATACTCAGATCCCTCTTTTCTTTCTAACAAAAGTTGTTTTTTGTCTGTTAAAGTAAGCAGAACAAAAATTGTTCTTCGTCTTTTAGAGAAAGAAGAAAGACCTAAGTTTTATCATCTCTCTCGCATGCCATACTCGATTTATCTGTATTACATCTATGATAATTCTTTAACCAAAATTTGTATCTTGTTTACAGATAGCGAGAGAACATGGCATTAGATTTATGGAGACGTCCGCGAAAGCGAACATCAATATTGATCGAGCATTTAGCGAACTAGCAGAAGCAATATTGGACAAAACTCACGGCAGGGAACCACAAGACGCGCCCGACAGAGTAACGGTTGATCGAAGGGTAGAAAGAAATTCGAATCGGTGCTGCTAATTTTATATATTATTTATTTTAACGGCGCATAACGAACTATATATCAGCTCGTGCCACCTGGGATAGATCCCTCGATATAGATTTAGAGCGTAATTTAAAGCATAACATAAACACTTCACGACACTGCCTGATCTGATATAATCCAATCTCACTTTTGATCTGATGGAAAAAAACGTTTTTCTATGCTGCAATCGAAAATTGCTAATAAAGATGATTTGACCGATCCAATATTTTTAAAAAATTATGTTTTTTAATTAAATCTATATAAATGTTAATAAGTTTATAAAAATAGGCGCGCTGTTTTATGCATATACAATTGTATCTACGACTGTATGTGTGATATATAAACAAAGTTTCATTAGTTATACGGATGTAGTAAAAAAAAATTTTAAAACAGATTTCACTGGCGAAAATTTCATGTTTCACGTAAAGCATTGCATCGTTGCACGAAAAAAAATAATTAGGACATATTGTTTATACATATTGTTTATTACGAGGCTGCAATTTGTTACCATGTTGAGTGATGTGAGTATGAGTGTCGTCGGCTTCTAATCATTTTTTTGAACATTGAACGCTTTTCTGCGTGAATAATCGCACCACAATGCTTACTTGTACATTTAAATTAGGGAGAACTTAAACCAAAAGCTTCTACCGTTTTGTGTACGGCCGATTTACTATAAATATAAATATTCGCAATTTCGAATTTGTCGTTTTTATTTCTTAGGCAAACGCGCGCGCACACACACATACACACATATATACATATGTCCTGTATGGAATGAGTTTGCATATTTATAGATGCAAAATTATCGTTAATAACAGACATTAATAACAATTATATATAGACATTTTAATGCAAGTATTAAAGATAATAGTATATGTACTTTATATATATATTGTTTAGAGATGCTGTTAAATTACTTCATCTAATTATTTATCTCATATCAGATAACGTTATACAGAATTATTATTTTACATAACATTACACGGAAATTGTCTTATCGCGAATAGTATTAACGTGTTTGTCGAAAAAAAGAATTGCATCATACTACTGTGTATACATATATACATTGCAATATACTATGCACTGCTATTTGAAATCGAAAGAAGATCATAAATACCGAAATATACAGAAATAAATAGAGAAATAAATTGTATGTTTTATTATTCAAATTTGAACAAAAAAATAAACACAATCTCAACTTTTTATATATGTATATGTATGTATATATAGGCAACAAGGTATAAGCATCTCCACATTTCTTTCAAAGTTGCCTGGAATTATAGTTAAGTTCAGATAATATACTATAACTAATTATCGTTCGATTTTTATCACACTATGACATATATTTATAACAATTATATATCAATAATTAATTTTACGCACTTATAATTAGACATATATACTCATTGACATTGGAAAAATTTAAGTCTTTAAAGAAATAAAAAAAAATAAAGCATGTAAACTCATATAACCACTGCTTTTTATAATACTCAAAATAAGACAAAAAATAAACATTGAGTTTTATGACAATAATAATAATGATGTACTATTCTATACATTAGTAATTACAAGAACTTATATTTGGTTTTCTCCCCAAACTTATGGGAAATATTTTATGCATTATGAAACTAGATAAAAGATTTCAAGTATAAGCGTGCTATTTGTATAGATATATTAATCTTTGAAAATTTGTAAAAGCTATCTTCGTAGAAATTAAAGTCTTGCCAATGTTATGCTTCTTCATACTTCATTGTTTCTTCGCCTACAGTGCGCTCTCAGAACAATGACTGTAGAGAGCCAAAGCAGGACGGCGGTAAGTAAAAACTGACTTTATGTGTGTATTCCTTAGTAAGTATAACACAAGTCAAAATATCATAATTGACATCAATTAGTCTCGCGAAACGCCAATAATAGTTAAAATATACAGGAAGATGTTGACGACATCCAGATACAGACTCAACGCGGCAAAGATATATTCCTCTGGTGAAATAGAATATTTATGTTTTCCGCCGATCATCATTTGCGTATCGTAAATCAGATATAAGGAGAATATAAACGCGCCTAGCGAGGCATAAACCAAAGTTATAACTTTTCCGTGCCAGATCACTGCAATTATACCGAAAATAAGTAAAATGAGCACAGCGACGAACAAGACACTGTGCAATCCGGTAAAATCGATTTTTGTCTGAAATGCGAATATCGTCAATCCTAGACACACTGCCGCTGTAATTCCAACAGCCAGCATGACCTGCAAAAAACATCTCTATGTAGATATGTCACCATTTACATATTATAGCTTAATAACATAGTTCTTTATATATATAGTATTTAAAATTATAAAATCTTTTCGGATAACTTACTTCTTGAGACTCGTATGTTGATGCAGCCACGGACAGTAGGAAAGCCTCCGCAAATGTAAATAGGAACAAGAATATGAAGTTCATCGGAGCTTTACGTCTCACATTGGTACAGCAAGTCATACATATGAGCAGGACAAGAGTTAAGGCAAAAGCAATCCAAAACAATTCTGAGTGATTCTTAACCCATAACTGTGTCGGTCTATGATAAAGCAACAAAGTAATCATCCCAAGTGTGATAAGCAACTGACACATCAAGATGCTATACACTTTCCTGTCAAAAAAAAAATACAATTATATATATGCTCATCATATACTTTGGGAATATTAAATGTTAAAGATCTGACATTTACCTAATGAAGCCATTCCTGATCGTTTTGTCACTGAATTCAAACCCTTTGACTTCATCCTGCATAGGATCTTCTCCATACCCAGACCCGTACATTCCTGGATGACCTGGTGGAGGTACTCCTCCAAATTCTGGACCAACTGGCGGTGGCGCTTCACCGTATGGTGGAACACCCGGTGGAGGTATAAATCCTGGACCTATAAAAAATAGTAATGGTCATGAACAAAATAAATATATAACTGTGACAATTTAAGGTAGTTTGAATAATATTCTTAAGTTGTATTTACCTGGTGGAATTCCACCGGAGTAAGGTGGTGGATATCCGGGATTTTGAGGATATGGATAGCCTTCTTGTGGTGGCGGATATCCTGGATTTTGAGGATACGGGTACGGACCTGCACAGTCAAAATTAAGAAATATAAATATCGACGTTACAATACAGTGTGCATGTAACCGCGATAAGCAGTAACAACTTGAGGAACTGTGTGCAGTAACAGCAGCCACTACTTTTATATATATTGTGCATATTTTATGTTTTTTTAAAATTATGTTTTCATGATTGTGTGTGCTATTGGCTTCTTGAAGACATTAATTATGCTTGACACAATCTGTTGCAATGTATTACATGAGTATATGTATTAATTATAGAGTTACATTGATGATGATAAACAATACTTTAACATGTTATTGCAAGATTTATTAATAATTTTCTTCATTCTCAAGTATTGACTAAAAATAATCATTATATTAACGGTGTGCTTTCAAATGTATGGGATGATATACCCTTTCCAAGCAAGTGATTATGCTAACCGCTAACTGAACGATCTTTGAGATATGTACCCCGAATTAATACAGTTAAAATAATGAAATATGATAATAAAAAATATATTAGAAAACAGAAGGAAAAAGATCAGAACCTTGTTGCCCTGCATAGAATCCCGAACCAGGTGCTTGCCAAGTTGTCATCTTTTGGTTTTGTTTTAGCTGAAAAAGAACCTATTATTATAACTAGGCCTCCTTTGAGGAAAAGAACAATATCAATAGAATTCCGAACAAATGAATCAACTTTAAAAATGTACATAGAATTATTGAAATAAATTTGAAATACTTGTACTTGTTACGTCAACATTATATACTTTGTATTAAACTATCATTTATTAAAACAGATATAAGCAAATCATTTCTATAAAAACAAAAATAATAAATAATAAATAATAAATATAATAATTACAATCTCATTAAAAGTTAAATCTTATACATTCATTTCTGACTTTCATTATAATTCGCACACATACTTAAATCTTGTATCGTAATTTATTAATTATATTTTTTGTTCTTTTATTATATAAAATGCTCTTAGAATAAAAAAATATAAAAGCAAAATGTTAGATAGATAGCAAAATTAAAAAGAAGTTAATGTTCCAAACTTTCGCTTAAAGAGCCATACACCTAAAAAACTGTATTCTGTAATACTAAATGTTCTACTAAATGTAAAACCTGTAACTCTTATATAACGAATTTCATTTCATGTGGTGAAATCTAGATTACCTTGCAGTTTTATTTATATATTATAATTTCTTTAAATAATTAATTTTATCTCTATTAAGAATGATATATGAATGTGAATTCTATTAACTGCTCATAATTATTGACAATATTGGCAATTAATAACAATCGTTAATTAAACAAGAAATATTAGCTAATGTATTTTAAGCATGTTATGTCTTGCACCAATTCACAGAGTAATATATTAGTAAGTGAATGCAAAGGCACATTAAATAACTTATCCCAATTATATGCATAGTTAGTTAATGTATATGAATATTAACATACTTATATCAACTGTCCAATCATATTGCCTGTTTATCAAAGAAAAAGGATTTATACACACTGCACAAAAATTTGATAAGCAATACTTATCGCTTTGAACATTGCACTTCGTAATAACTAGAGTCTTCTGATTCTTACCTGGGTGCTCCTCGAATATCATATCATTCTTATTTAAACAATAAGGTTGACATGATATCCGAGGAGCACCTAGATGGGAATCCGAACATGCTTTAGCAGGTTCTTTTCAATTTGTTCTTTTTAGCTGAACTTCTTGCATAGTTCATCTTTTCTCTTTTTTTTCCAACGTGAAAAGAAAAAAGAGAAAACATAGAAAAGTTCATGCAAGAAGTTCGTGCAAGATGTTTAGTTAAAAAGAACAAATTTAACATAAGATTAACTTTAATCTCGGTTTAACTAACTGTTTATGTTTTTCTAATACTTAGAATTAGAAAAAGATAAAGAGTAAAAGCAAAATAAATTATACCGAGATTATAGCGAATTCAGTTACTTCCATTACATTAAATTAGTGCATATTAAAAGCTGTTATACAAGAAATTGGTTAAAATTAAATGTAGGTTAAATATATAAGAGCATGAGAATATTTTAAATGATTAAATAATGACAATCAAATAATGACATTTCAAAAATGACATTGTCACATTATTTAATAGAATATACATATATTTCATTATTAGAGTTATTTATTAGAATTATTAGAATTAATTATATCATACCACATTTAAGCCTGATTGCACCAATGTTATTTTGGCTTTAAGCGAGACTTAAATATGTGTTTGTCTTTAGAAAGGCAGTGACAGATACATGTTCAAGTTTCCTTCAAAGCTAAAATAACGTTGATGTATCGGACCTTACTTTATATAAAGCAGCCTTTAATATGTACTAATCCAGTGTAGTGTGAGTGATAGAAATCATCATTATATACAATATACATTGATGGAATCAGATCCAAGAGCTTATTAATGTTTACGACACAATGATGTAGGCAAAGTTGTCACACAGTTACTCATGAAAACGCAATATTAATCGCGAAGCGAAATAAAATGTGTGAATTACCAAATATACATTAGCAGGGAGTAACTTTTCTTTCTTCGTCACTACAATTAGGAGTAAAGCGATACTGTTACGCGATAACACGCGATATCTTGTCGCCTAATCATATCTTTAAACAACGATTTATAGTACTCAGTTTCCTGAAAAAATTACGCCTACGTGAGCGCGCGCGCAGATATGTAATATGATACATTACATCGCCAATATCCAATAAGGTAGACGTGACGATTATTAAATAAAAATGACTATCGAGGAATTGGAAGATTCAAACGTTTCGAATCAACGACGCGCGGCGCTAGGCCGTCCATCCAGATCGATTTCTCGCGACGGCAAGGTCGCGCGTATTATCAAGCCGTGGTAAATTATCGTGATTATAATGCCCGGTTATAGGTCGATGTTTCCTTCTCGACCGCACGCAACGTCGTGAAATAAAAGAGACAGCTCGCGCGAACTCGCCGAGCACGAAGCCGGAAAGAACATGAGAGTCGCGTGAGGTGGATAGGTAAATACGTCAAGTCGATGCGTCATCCGTCGTTCTTTCTGGAAATAGTCTTGCAATCGATAATCCCCGTCTCCCGAATATTGCGATGCGGATGTGTATTTACCTCGTATCACGCACGGGCCCTTTTACTCGTCGTGCCCTAGTTAGCAGCTGTGGTGTACACGTAATGCGTAGCACGACGAATCGCTATTTATTTGGTCGACAATCGAACGACGTAGCCGCAAGTAGTAACACACTTCACGCGCCGTGTCGAACACCAACTCGCGCTCGGTTCCGACTGAAGTACGCCGCTAATGGTCAAAATGTCAAATCCGAACGATGTGAAGTGAGCCGACGTTCGGCCGTGTGGAGCGTCGGGCGCTTGCGCGAGTGCGTGCATCTTCGCCAACGTTGCATCTCGTTGCTGCACAAAATCTCCCCGTATCGCTCTGCATCGGTTTTTTCAAAGGAGCTAAAGCCGGTGGTACACGATGCTTGTTTTCTTGCTGGTGATAGCTGGATTAGATTCTACCACCAATTATCTACATTGAAAACAAGCATCGTGTGCCACTGACTTTTTAAAGGAAGAACACTGAGTGTGAGAAATAAATACCGACGAGGTATTATTAAAAATCGATATTATTATTATTATTATAAATCCAAAATAACAAAATGTTTGCACGATGCTAGCATAATGCATGCACGTGTGTGTAGTGCATGTGTCATGATATATCAGCTGGTTGCATCTAACGAGTATATTACATTATGCTTGTAAAATACCAATAAAGTATTCAAGACAATAAAATTTCGATTGTATGTGTAACTAATAGTCGTGTGACAATATGCTGTTGACACATCTGTCCGCATCTGGAATCTGGATAGCACCATGTAAACATCTGCTCTAACGGTAGAAAATAACACACAATGAAAAGCAACAGACAACAGAGAACAGGCAGTAAGAAAATATCAAAATAAGAAAACATAAAAAATAATTAAAGGGATAATTTTTGCATTACTTGTTTTAGAAGAAATTAAGTTCGGAGAAATATACAAAAAATTGCACATACATAGTTATGTATAATTTGTATATAATATTGATCTATAAATATGATAATACTTTTAATATGATCTAAGACTGTCGTTACATATTAAAATCGTTTCAATAATTGCAGTCAAAGTAAGTCTTAGTCCTTATCAGTCACAGAAATACATAATTACCCCATATATTCATAGATCTATAAATATATGGGGTAATTATGTATTTCTGCAGCTAATGAGGACTAAATATAGTCGAAACGTATCGTTGAAATTTATCATCGGAAAATTATAATTTGTGAATAATAAATATTATTTCTTATACCTAACTATAGCTCGTTTAATGTACTGATCTGGGTTTACTATTTAGAAAAAATAATATTTATAGTATACTATAAAATAGATGTATGTAAAGTCTATTATTCTTTTAAGCTGAATTTTTTGCACGGTTATTGTCTTTATTGGAAAGCTTTCCTTTGTTTCACGTTGAAGAGAAAACGAGAAAAAAATAAAAACTGCGTAATTAACGAGTTCAGTAAATATAGAAAATAATCGATACATGTATATTGTTATATAATAATAATAATAAATTATATAATTATATTGTACATTAAATATAATAAATATCGATATACAATTTTATATAAATATATAAAATTTATAAAGAATTTGTTAAATGGAA